AATGATAGCATGGACGTCATTTGTTCCCTCTTGAAACGCCGAACATGCCGCGGTGTATGCAGCTGAAAATACAATGGCGTCCTATTTTGTTTACAAGCGACAGATTCCTTCTTCTTTTTTCCTTGCATTTTTCATCCAAATAATACCATGCACGGGGTTTAGAGTGAGGCAATAGATTAAACATTTCGCCTGAGGGTATTGAAGTAAGAGAAATAACTGAAGAAAAGATGACAAAACAGGCAGTGAAATTGTGTGAGATGTCATGGGACATCGTCTGCTTGTGCACATCATGTTCAACATGTGACGTCATATCTCAGCAGCGACCGGAGAGCTTTTCAGGTGCTATGTCGGGGCTGTATCTAAGCGTTTTGTAATTGTTAATAATCATTACTTTGAGTGTTGTCTAAGCATTGGCTTTTGATAACCTTGGCCAATCAAAGTGTCACCTTTGCAATAATGACATTAAAGTTAGTTTTTTAAATCAATGAATCTTCTCTTTAACGATAAGATTCATGATAAGGATAATAATTACAATAACAATTAGAATAATTGCAAAAATAGCATTAGTAACACCACCAACCATAATAATAGTTATAATAATAACTGTTGTCATTATTATTGTGATACTGCTGCTACTACTACTCCTACTACATGTACTAGGAAGAAGGAGGGGAAGAGGAAGAATCTTGTTGTTTATTTCCTGTATTATCGAGGCATACAAATGCACAGGGAGGTAAGAGAGGGGAAGGTAAGGCGATAAAGAGGGAGAGAACGAGAGGGGGTAGCCTATGGCCCGGGTTCAAATTTAGTTCTCTTTAATTTATTTGACCCAGTACTGATGATCATAATTTTATCTACCATGTGATTGCCATGTGTATGCCACACCGAATAGCACCTCATTTTTGTTTATTGTAGTAAAGAACTTATTGGCATGCACCCAGTAGATTTCCATCATGTGTTTGATCTTATCGAAAACAAGATCAAACACATCATCATAATCTACAGAGTGCAACCCAAAATTTCTTAACAACAATTGAATTTCTTTCAGGAAGCCTAACAATAAAAGCTGTTTTTGATACAAAGAGCATCGTAGCAGACAATGAACAAATAAGAATAATGACAACGTCGTTAAAGTGACTTGGTAACATTGTTGAAGATTGATGAAAAAATTTGCTTAATTTTTGTATAAAATGTTTCTTTCTATATTCCTTCTACTGTACTAACCCTCTGACATGCAAGCAAATCCTGGAAAAATTCTCAAACCACGAAGATATCTATGGTTTTCTTTGAAGGAGTCGATGTATGACACACTCTAACAGTGATTAACAGAAAATTCTCCAGACCATTTTTGAATTTTCCCAACCGTTTTTCCATGAAAAAAGACATAATACAGGCTATAAAAAAAAAACTGTCAACACTTAATGTCTGAAATGGAATGTAGAGCCATTTTATTGCTTTATGAGATTTCCATTCACCTAAAATGTAATTAAATTGTAATAATATAGTTGGGAGAATTAAGGAATCGATCAGATCAGTTTTTTCAATTTGTACCATGAATAATGGTCCGTTTTCGCTCAAATTTTCAGATTATCTTTAATTGTACATCTAGCATCGAAGTCACTCCCTTAGCACTACTATCTCTCATCTGAACAATGTTACAAATAGTCCCTTTAAGCGTGAGACCGTTCACTTCTATCTCTCCCCGCCAAATAATCCGAACAAAAGAATCAACCGAGGGTAATCAACTGTTAGCCACTTGATTGCGGGCCACATACATGTACGTGGTCTAGGTCTTGCATGCCCTGTGCGCACCGCGTACATGTACGTGGTACGTACCAGGTTAGGGCATTGCACTTTCAAGACCGTAACACTGCATACTGCCTAGCCCTAATGTGTGTGTAAGGTATGTGTAATTAGCACTGCAATGTTGTTATACAGGTCTTGAACATTAGATGGCGCTCTTTAAAAAAAAATCCGGCCTTTTCGTGTACGGCGCTTTTTCAAAAAAAAATCTGGCCTTTTCGTGTACAGTGTACACTTTTTGAACTGTACAAAAATGCTGTAGCACAGGAGGGATGCCGCGCGTTTTAAGCCAATATCAGTCAAGTGGTTAAACGAATTTATCATGAGTCCTTTGAAAACTTAAGTAATACTGCTTGTCATAGTATTATTGAAGCGCAGCAAAGGCAAACGATTGTCACTACAATTCAGAAATCGTTGCTTCGTTTGCTTTTCTCTCAAAATTACCATGAGATATCAAGCTACATAGAACTATGATCGACAAAAAAAATATTGTCTTGAAAACAGTCAGAAACATTGGAACTTGAAAGCATAAATATAATGGCAAATGAATAAGACTAGAATGAATAGGACACAAATATTATGTTTACCATTTAAATCATCCAGTACCAAATTCTAGCCAGATGCATATAACGGTAAGCTTAAAGACAATGATGTCAATTGTCCATTCTTTGAGTTTATCGTCTAGAAGTATGCAAAAGATAATCAGGATAATAAGGATCAGAATGATCTACTACTAGGCCTACTTTTACATGCATTATACTCATAGGCGCCGGAAGTGGGGGGGGGGGGGGGGCAGGGGGCAAAACGCATTTTTGCCCCCCCCCCCCCCCAAAAAAAAAAAAAAAAGTAAAGGAGTAAAGATGGTTTGTATTTTTAACTAAAGAGGACATACCAATAATAAAATAATTTAAAATTCCATTCAAAAAAAAGGAAAATTAACAGGAATTGAATTTCCTAAACATTGCGCATATGCCACCTATATTTATCATTGGAGGTTTTTATAATAGCGATACGCGCATATCGTGGACATATTGTGAGAGAATGGAAAAGCGTGTCTGTTTTTTGTTATAGGGGTGAGAAGACATGAGCCCCTGAACGCTGGCGTACTGATGGGGTAGGGGTATTTTGTATTCGATACCAGTGATTTACAAATGTTGCTGAAATGATATGATTTTCCGGTATTTTTTCTCAATTTTTTTGTAATTCATACCTTTTTATGCGTTTGTTTGAAAATTAGAAATTCCAAATTTTACAGTCGGTCGAAAAATATGCTTATTTAGAAGCCTTTATATGTCCTTGGTCTGCAAAACGGCTGGGCTCGGGGGCTCGAGCCCCCTTACTTTTTGAAAAAGTGTGTTACAGAGAAAAAGAAAGAAAGAGCGAGAGAAAATATAAGTAACCTGCCAACTTTTGTCACAAAATGAAGTACCAAAATATGCTCATCTGACCGTAATTAAATGCCTAAAACCCTAGAGCTTACGGGGGCTCTGCCCCCGGACCCCACCAAGGGCCCTAAGACGGTTCCCTGGAAGCTCATCTGACCGTAATTAAATACCTAAAAACCTGAGCTTCCGGGGGCAGGCCCCTAGGCGGGCCCTGGATGCTCATTTGACCGTAATTAAATACCTAAAACCCATGAGCTTCCGGGGGCTTTGCCCCCTGGACCCCACCAAGGGCCCTGAGGCGACCCCTGGATGCTCATCTGACCGTAATTAAATACCTAAAACCATGAGCTTTAGGGGGCTCTGCCCCCAGACCCCGCCACGCCAAGGGCCCTCAGGCGGGCCCCTGGATGCTCATTTGACCGTAATTAAATACCTAAAACCCCTGAGCTTCCGGGGGCTCTGCCCCCTAGACCCCACCAAGGGCCCTAAGGTGGCCCCTGGAGGCTCATTTGACCGTAATTTAATACCTAAAACCCCTGAGCCTACGCCAATTTACGCACTACCTGATCGTTAATACTCCACTTTGAAAAACGTTCCGCGGGGCCTGGAATGTTTGCCCCCCCCCCCCCAATCCCAAACTGCTTCCGGCGCGCCTGATTATACTACACTACTGCCATTGTTGAGTATCATGACATTGTTTCCCACAATAAAAATCCCATATGTTTTATACGCGCCCGGCTACGAGCCGTCACTTCCTGAGAACAAAATCAAAGCGTTCTATGTAAATTTGTGTTTTCACGAAATGACGGTTGTGTGAAAAGTTCAAACAGAGGAATAAAAAAAAGCAGCTACAGAAAGAGGAAAATGTACTCTATCTCGTAGTTCGAGTTATTTTATCTGTACATCAATTAAACATAACGTTTCGTCGTATTTAGTGTCCATTTCGGGAATGCAATCCACGAGAGAAAAATCCCGTATGTTTTACGCGCGCGGCTATGAGCCGTCATTTCATGAAAACAAAATTACAGCGCGTCCTTGAATTTCGTGTTTTCACGAAGTGACGGTTATGTTTACAGCTCATTTCCCCAAAAAATATAAGAAATTATGGAAATAATTAAACATAGAACTAAACATTGAGATATGTTCTATCCCAGGATATAACATTTATTTGCCCTTGATACATTAAAGAGGTTGAGATTATAGTTTGAAAGTTTGAAAGCGATTTATTCAAAACTAACACTCTTTTAATTTCGTGCTCATCCCTCACTTCGTGAAAATAGGGACGAATTAATCATGAATAAGCAAAAATGCATAACATTACTATAGAAAAATTAAAAGATAAATTGTAAAATTTTCATAGTTCCTAAAACTTTTGCGGATGAAGGATTGCCATTGTGAGCGATCGCGTGAAAATATGACAGCTCAAAACAAATCTTTCGAAACAAGACGAACTTACTTAATATGAAGCAGAATGGGCAAATAATTCAAAGCATATGCAAAATATAAGGATAATTGCTGCTGATGATGATAATAATAATGATAACGATAAAAGAGAAAGAGGGGGATGATGATGATGATGAAGGATGATAAGGATGAGAATGATTCGAGAGAAAGGGGGGAGACAAGGGAAGGAAGGTTATATTTTAGTATCAGTTGGACAAGCGTGTCCCTGTGCTTTTAATTATACCAATAACTAGTCTTGTTCGTAAATCAATCAAACAAGAAATGAGAGGGCAGGTTATGCTTTCTACACACAGAACATTAAAATCCCGATGACTTTCTGTAATTGATTATGGTATTTTTCTCTTTCAGTACAAGGACCTTCCACCAGATGAAAACTTCTCCATTAGCTCGACGGTAAGTTTGTGAAATTAGAATCGCACTTATTTTTGCATTGGCAGTCAGTAGCTGACGTGTCTATAATTAGATACTAAAATATCTGTTATAGAAGTGATGTATGCGCATGACTTTATTAGACAATCTATCTGCAATACACCAGTTTACAGTTGTATCAGTGCGCATGCGCAGACAGTTGACCTCGGGTCATTGGCCCCGGAAGCGGGGTCATTGGCCCCGGAAAAAGGGCCAATAACCTTTGACCAGTGGTATTTATGCGTAAATTAAGATTGCGCCCATGCAAATGATGATATGCGCGCACAACGCAGCGCGCAGGCAGTGATATCATCATAATTTGCATGGGCGCAATCTTAATTTACGCACAAATACATGACCTCTAGGTCATTGGCCTTGTTTAAAATGGCGCACACAACTGTAAACTGGTGTATTGGCGAGTAAACAAAGCCAATGACCTAGAGGTCATGTATTTGTGCGTAAATTAAGATTGCGCCCATGCAAATTATGATGATATCACTGCCTGCGCGCTGCGTTGTGCGCGCATATCATCATTTGCATGGGCGCAATCTTAATTTACGCATAAATACCACTGACCTCGGGTCATTGGCTTTGTTTCAAAGCCAATGACCCGAGGTCAACTGTCTGCGCATGCGCACTGATACAACCGTAAACTAGTGTATTGATTTGAAGATGTGTGCATCTATGGTACAAAGCCATCAGGCTGAGTATGATAGATGGATACACAGCCTCAAAGAGAGCAGATATATCGATAAATGACCGAATGAAAACATGTATCATGTGTTTTATACAGCGAATCTCCTATATTCTTGTTGCTTGATGAAAGAATTTTTAGGTGATACGTAACGAAGTCAACGTATCACCTTTTGATTTCGTCAAGATTTTTCTTTATTATTATTAGGTGATACGTACGTAGACGTATCACCTTTTGATTTCGTCAAGATTTTTATTATTTATTTATTTATTTATTTATTTATTATTATTCTTCCTCGAATTTGTTCGCAGGATATCTCAAGACTGAATAAAGCCATTATCATGAAACTTGCCATGATGATAGATCTTAGTCTAACTTAGAACTGCGTGACTTTTCAAAGACTCAAAATTATCGTGACGTCATCCAGGCGCCATTTTGTGAAAATAAACTTATGATCATATCTTCATAACGGAAAGGAATTTTTCATTCATATTTATCAGGAAGAAGATCAATATCCATCCGGTCAATTTCAGATCAATAAACGTGCGCAAATGCGCGCGTGCGCGTTCGTACGCGCGTTTACGCGCGCGAAAAAAATTAAAATGCTCCAAATCATCCCAAATTTTTTTTGCATACGTTTCAGGCCATATGGAGCATTTGACAAAAAATCACGCAAACGCGCATGCGCGCGCGTTTTTTGCGCGTACTAGCATTTTGCAACATAGAATCGCCGAATGTTCTCTATTATCATATTTGGTACATCTTTCCAAGCATTTTGATAACTTGTTCACCTTTTAATAACGCAATGAGCGTCCGTCAAAGTTGACAGCGCGCGCGGACCTGCGTTATCTTTATCCACAATACATGAGCAAAAACATGTCTATACAAAATTCTTTGTAACTCTTCAGAATAGATAGAAACTCCCAATATTTTTTCATATTTAGATAGGTTATAAGTTGGAGATATGATTTCATGTCTCATTTGACCCTCAATTAACTCATAACGTCATCATAATGGCCTCCAAACTCAAAATTTCAATTTGCATATTATGACGTCAGCATAATTTTGGAAAATTGATTGTATCTCTGTAAATATTGATTGATTTTCTTTTAAATTTTGATATGTTCTACCTGAGACAATTTTCTACAAATAAATAATCCACAATTTTCCATTTTGACAAAGGCATCATGGCGTATTTTTGCAATTAAAGAAGGCATGTCAATTTTTCACATTTTACGTGTATTCTCTATGGGACATGACTTTTTCTCAAAACTGGATTCTACACTCCTGTCTTTCGCGAGCAAAATCTCTGTTGTTTTAGCTTCGTTTTCGCTGAACTTCGGATATGTTGTAGCTGAGACAATGAGCTATCACAAGTGCGCCCTTTATTTTTCGATTAGATGCCGGGATCATGCTCATATTTCACTTGCAAAGTAGGATTTCAGAATTCCATTTCCCGTTTACGTGTAATCGCTATGGGAAATGTTTTGGTATATCGGTAACGCACTTGACTTCCAATCTCGAGATCCCTGGTTCGAGTCCGGGTGTCTCCAACAATTTGTTTCTTCACTTTTTTTTCCTTTTGACCTTCACTGTACCATCTCCTTTGATTATTAAAACACGTAGAATCGCAAATAATGTCACAAACAACCCTTTTTACTTTATTATTACCCTATTTTCACTTAATCCATTACTTTTTGCGTGTAATCTCTATGGGAGATGACTTTTTCTCAAATCTGGAGTCTACATTCCTGTCTTTTGCGAGCAATATCGCCGTTATTTCTGCTTGGATTTTGTTGACTTTTGAGTAAGTTGTAGCTGAGACTATATGCTATCTAAATCAACCCTCATTTTTTCAATAAGATGTCATGATCGCGCTCATGATCATGATCATTATCATCATGATCATCATTATCATAATGATGATAATCATTTATCAATTACATTTTCATTTCTTTGAATAAGATAAAATCGTCAAAAGGTGTTCTTCATGATGTAAATTAGAGTCAAATGTGTAACTGGTTACTGCACAGGGTCAAAGGTCATATATTGTTTCAATCTATCTTCCCTAGATCCATGATGATCAAGGAGACACAATTTAATCTTGACATATGAATAGATCATAATGGGAGAAGCATATAAATGGGAGAAGCATTTTACAAAATAATATATCGTGTAATGCATTATTCGTTATGTAAACCATTATCATACGTATCACCTAATTCGTCTAAGTGACGAATTAAAGTCTAGTTAGGTGATACGTACGTAGACGTATCACCTTTTGATTTCGTCAAGATTTTTATTATTTATTTATTTATTTATTTATTAGGTGATACGTAACGAAGTCAACGTATCACCTTTTGATTTCGTCAAGATTTTCTTTTTTTTTTTATTATTATTCTTCCTCGAATTTGTTCGCAGGATATCTCAAGACTCAATAAAGCCATTGTTATGAATCTTTCACTGATGATAGGTCTTAGTCTAACTTAGAACTGCGTGACTTTTCAAAGACTCAAAGTCATCGTGACGTCATCCAGGCGCCATTTTGTAAAAATCAACTTATGATCATATCTTCATAACGGAAAGTAATTTTACATTCATATTTATCAAGATTAAGATCAATATCCGTCGGGTCAATTTGAGGTCAATAAATGCGCGCAAAAATCCGCGTACGCGTAGGCGCGCGCGTTAATGCGCGCGTAAAATTTTAAATTGCTCAAAATCGTCTTAAATTTTTTTTGCATACGTTTCAGGCCATTATAAGCATTTCATAAAAAATCACGCAAAACACGCATTTTTGCACGTTTTCGTTCGTCACGGCCGAACGAAAAATAATTTCTCCGCAAAAGCTTTTGACCGAATATTCCTCATATTTTTCCGGAAAATTTGATACCATGTTTAGCTCTTTATCACTATTAAAAACGGAATGAGCGTCCGTTCAAGATAACCGTCCGTACGCGCGATTTTTGTAATACATTGCATATATGGGCAAAAACATGCCTATGAAAAGTCCATTGGGATGAATAGGGATTGCCAATTTTTTTTTTCATATTTAGATAGAGTATGAGTCGGAGGTATGATTTCATATCTCATTTGGCCATTAAGTACATCTTTACGTCATCATAATGGCCTTGGAAGTCAAAAATACAAAATTGCATATTATGACGTCATTGTATTTATGGAAAATGTAGTGTATTTCTCTCAATATTCATCGATTCTCTTTGAAATGTCGATATGTTGTAGATAAGGCAATTCTCTACAAGATCACTTTTCACTAAGTTTCATTTTAATGAGGTCATCATAGTACAAAATTCAGTTAAAGGCCACATGTCAGAATTTTCGTCATTTGCGTGTTATGTCTGAGGAAGGTGAATTTCGTTCACATCATGAATCTACATGGCATTCATCTATGAGCACTATCTATCTTATGTGTGCTCTGTTTTCTCCCAAGTTGGGGTATGTTATAGCTGAGACCATGGGCTATAAAAAAGGGTGACTTTGTTTTTTAATCAGATGTTGGGATCATGTTAAAATTTTCGATCGAAAGTTGAAATTGCAAATTTTGAAGGAATCATTAGGTGATACGTAACGAAGTCAACGTATCACCTTTTGATTTCGTCAAGATTTTCTTTTTAGGTGATACGTAACGAAGTCTACGTATCACCTATTGATTTCGTCAAGATTTTTATTCCTATTCCTATTATTCTTATTATTCTTCCTCGATTTTGTTCGCAGGATATCTCAAGATTGAATAAAGCCATTGTCATGAAACTTTCAATGATGATAGATCTTAGTCTAACTTAGAACTGCGTGACTTTTCAAAGACTCAAAATCATCGTGACGTCATCCAGACGCCATTTTGTGAAAATCAACTTATGATCATATCTTCATAAAAGAAAGCCATTTCTCATTCATATTTGTCATGATCAAGGTCAATATGTGTCGGGTCAATTTGAGGTCAATAAATGCGCGCAAAAATGCGCGTACGCGAAGGTGCGCGCGTTAATGCGCGCGTAAAATTTAAAATTGCTCAAAATCGTCTTAAATTTTTTTTGCATACGTTTCAGGCCATTATAAGCATTTCATAAAAAATCACGCAAAACACGCATTTTTGCACGTTTTCGTTCGTCACGGCCGAACGAAAAATAATCCCCCAGCAAAAACTTTTGACAGAATATTCCTCATATTTTTTCGGAAAATTTGATACCATGTTTAGCTCTTTATCACTATTAAAAACGGAATGAGCGTCCGTTCAAGATAACCGTCCGTACGCGCGATTTTTGTAATACAT